GCAGCATGATGTTTAGCCAAGGTCTCCACTGCTGGCGGTCCTCCGCCAGTCGAACTCGAACTCAGAATTCGAAATGTTCTTCTAATGTTCCAAACGCGTTCTCTTTGTTCGATTTTTTTCGATTTTTACCTTCGCCAAGAAGGTTATGTTTTCAGTAGCGTTTGTCCGTTTGTTGGTTTGTTGGTTTGTTTGTTTGTTTGTTTGTGAACAGCATAACTCAAGAAGCTTGATATGGATTGTCATGAAACTTGGTAGGTGGGTAGGTCTTGATGAGACCTAGAAATGATTAGATTTTGGGCCCCCTGACGGCTTTTGTTGGTACTGCAGCAGAACTTCCAGTTTTGATATCTCGCGATCTAGACGTACTAGGGTCACGAATTTTGGTTGGTAGATAGCTCTTGGGGTAGGGAAGAAGTGACATGAGTTTGGGCCCCCTAGCAGCTTGTTCTGGAACTGCAGGAGCATTTCTTGAAAAATCTCCGAAGGTGCATAACTCAAGAACCGGTTGACGGATTGTCATGATTTTTGGTTTGTAGGTAGCTGAAGTGATGCTTCACATAATCAGATGACAATTATGCAAATCAGGAGCTAATTTGCATAATTAATGAGGAAATTCTATAAATCTGCTTCGTTCGATAATAGGACTATGAAACACGTGTGACATGTAATTGAGAACGAGAAAAACATCCGGGGATATAGATTATGTAAATGAAGACCTAATTTGCATGATTAATGAGAAATTTTTATAATTTCATAGTTGTAATTGCTGGGAATTCTATACTTGCCGTATTGGAAGTTAAGTGAAGGTGAACATCAATGAAGATAATTTATTAACATCATGACCTCATTTGCATAATTTATGAGGAAGTGCTAGAATAGCCTATTTTGTTAAGATAAGGCTATCATTGGGGGGAGAATATGATCCATATGATGTAATCTATTCAAATGACTCTGTTATTTGCGACATCAATGATCAAAATTGTATAATTCGTCAACCGTCAATTTGTTAACATCATTTGGCGAAGGTATGAGATCGTGGAACTCTTGTTTTCAAATAAATTCATTTTTTGACATCTATGTTGGCTAAAATGACCGCGGTTCAGTGTCTTATGTACCAACCTACCAGCATGCTGAATTATATTTTCCTATAGGCTCTAATTACGAAAATATCGACGATTTTTATATGTTTGGAGAAGAAGAAGAAGAGGAAATTGAGTAAAACAATATGTTTACCGTTTTCTTCGGTACATGAACATTTCTAGACCCAGACAAAAAATGCTGGCGGCAGTCTTTTCATCCTAGTTGCCAACGTCAATGTCGAGTTCATCTAGATCTGTTTCAGTCACGAACTCAGTACATCTGATGAATAGAAAATGTACTACTCGCTGGAGTGTTCGCGTGCCGGTACAACTTCAAAGCGGAGACTTTGCGTGCGGCAAGTCTCGTGCCTGCACGACTCAAGTGCCGAGTGGCGCCGAGGGGTAACTTCAAAGTGCCACGGAAGAGCTCCAGACATCTTTATAAGACTCTACAAGAGCTGAGAAGAAAATAGCTCACACACCTTTGACATTGAGCTGTAGGAGGAGAGTTGTATTGATGCGCTAGTGTCGGCATCAAAATTTCTTGCAAAGCTGCAACTTTGCTCGTTACCCTAACAGCCTGCAGACGACGATGGACATTTTTCTTTCAAATTCGCTTCACCAAACGAATTGACACATCTGTTTAGCAGAAGGGGGGGGCACGTATGTTTTGAGATTACATATATCGAGATACACATTATAAGTGCATAATAACAATGTACAATGTACAAATCTGTTTAGCAGATGTACTTAAACAACGATGTACTTTAGCAGATATACTTAAAAAAGATGTACTTATCTGTTTAACAATGTACTTTATGCACTTATAATGTGTATCTCGATATATGTAATCTCAAAACATAAGTGGCCCCCCCCCTTCCTGCTAAACAGATGTGTCAATTCTTAAGGTGAAGCGAATTTGAAAGAAAAATGCCCATCGTCTGCTGAGAAGGCTGATAACGGTATAGAAATACTTTATTGACACAACAAAAGTGCAGCGACTTTCGTAAGGTCTTTAACAGAACAATTCAGTTCAGTTTCACTTCAGTTTATTACGATACCGGCTAATCTTCCAGGGCTCATTACACATTACACACACGCACAGTACAAATATACACATATGACTACAAATTTACATACACCATGTTGAGTCACACGTCAGACAAGGTACTAATTATAGCTAAAATCATTGAACGAACAAATTATCGGCTAAGTATAAAACTAATATTACCATTACTAAAAGATTTCAATATAACAACTATCATCATAATTAAAAACCATTAAGTTGCATACATATACAATTGCTCGATCAATCTCTTCAACCGGCTCTCATCGGATACAGCCTTAACCTCATTTGGTAGTGCATTCCACAGCTTTATACATCTGTAGGTAAACATCTTCTTTCCACTGTTGTTCTTAGGTTTCGCTAATGAATAATTGTACACTGACTGTCTGGTAAAGTATCTGTGAGATGAGTGAACTGGTATAAGAAATTTGTAGATCTCCTTTGGCTCACCTGTGACAACAACCTTGAGAAATAACTTAAGAGTACGTACTGCTATTTAGAACACACAGACAAACATGGGGGTACAAAGGACTGAATAAATGTTGGGTTTGGCGTGTCACATATGCTAATTATTCTAAGGTCTAATTAAACATTCTTTGGTGTGCTTAACTATTTGTACACAGTACGAGTTATATCTTTCTAGAATGTTGTTGAATTCAGAAATGTAATGAATTCTGCTGAGCTAGTGGAAAGAAGGTTGAACAGCTTTGAGCGTTTCTATCATCATATCGTGAACAATCCATGATAAAGTGACGTTCATCAAAAATCTCATTTGGACAGAATAGTTAAGTAGTGGTTACATCCTAGAGGAAATGATAAATAAGTTAATAAGGAAATAATAATAAGCCACTGCCTCCAAAGAAGATACAGCTCCATCAGTAAGCTTCTACGTACGTACGTAGACGCTTGAGATAGTTCTACTGTACAGACAAGACATTTTTAAAAGTCTTTTCACTTCACCGTATACCCATGTGTTCCCTTACAATTAGCTTTCGTTCAAAGCAGGAGTTTGCCCAAAAAGTTTGGCAAATAGAAGGAGACGCGCGACGTTACATGTTGCATAGCCTCCACACGGCCTTCCTACGGGGGAAGCCTCTACCAGGCTTGAGGAAGCGGCTGGAAAGAGTAGAAATCGGCCAAAATAGAGAGATAAGCATGCCAAGGGAGTTTGTCCGTTGAGAGCCGCCTCCTCAAGCCTGGTAGAGGCTACTACGGGGGTACGGATTGTAGAATTCGGCGCAAAATTGCGGTGGCTAAACTACCCTGGTCATTATTATATGACTTTAGACAAACCTTCGATCATAAAACACATCTGTACTTATATCTACATCATTGCTAAGAAGCGAGAAGAAGCAAAATTATCGTAATTATTAGACTACATGTCCATAGAATTAGCACTAGTACATTGTATATATTCATTGCAAACTGTGATGTCTTTTTTGTGACCTGTACTGAACCCAGTGGGTATTTGCGTACAATAAAGGTCATTCATTCATTCATTATTCTCCCTATTTGGCCAAACTTGGATGTTTTTGAACCCGCGTTGTTTATAATAGTCTGAAGGAGACTGCATGTTGCATGTCACGTCTGTCTCCAATCCGTCCAGCCAAGCACAATCAACAACTGCCCCCTCCCTGCCCCGGCCCGCACGCACGGATGCCTGTAAGCTGATAAAAGGCTCAGGTGTGAATCCCGGCAAGGGTGATAAGATTCGGGCCATTTTAGGACTTAACAGCTTTCAACAGCGCCTGTCCATACCGCTACGGTTCCTCCGGAATCGTCCCTACACGCAAGCGGCTTACAGGTATGTCGTGAGTGATATCCCACCTGAATTGGTGAGCGAGCTCGAGGTTTTTATGTTTTTTGAAAGGTACACAATTTCAAATGAACACGATAAATTGACGCCGGACTCAAGCTACATACACGCCGCTAATCTGCAAGCCGATTTTTCGGTGGTTATATACAGGAAAATATCAGACATTATCAAATTGGCAGGGCAGTATCCAATACGCCACTTTTTGGTTTGCGAAAGAAAAGATGCCGGTATAGAATAGATTTAAACAGAAAGCCGGCCCGATAAAAACGTCAAAAATAAGCCAAAGCCTTAACCTCCCTGACAGTGCAAAAGTACACACATGTAGTCACACTTGAAAAGTTCTTGAAAACACTGGGAAAACGCTTGGATGTTATTATAACGTTGTGACCGCACTTTAAGTTTAACGACCTACTTTATATGCTCATAGCGTTCAAAGCTGACAGGAAGTCTTTGAACTGTGGGAGTGTCTCATCAAGCGAGCCTGGCGTCCCAGGGGTTTTTCTGCGATTTACTTGCATCTCCCTAGAAACTGCTATTCACGCTGTTCCACCCAGAGGGCGCCCTTTGCTCTACAGGGGGCAAGTGCGTTTATATCTCGGCATCTCACCAACTAGATCACGTTTTCCACTCACAGATATACCGCGGGCAGTAGAAAGTGTCAGCGATACGAATCTGAGATGAATAAGGCAATTTGAAAGGGGTAAATGAAATGCTCAACGTCAAGCATGGCCGATATACATTGCTTGTTAGCGTCGCGGTTTTCGAATTACGCGCCAAAAGTTAGCCACACAAAAGCACACTAAAGGTGAAGGACCCTGCTTCAAGCTTTGCTTGGCGAATAATTACCTTTTAGATTTGGCCCATAGAAAGTCGGATGGGTGGATAATTAAATCTTCGCGTGTTGCTTGGAATGGTTCCCGTTCGTTTTGTAAGCCTTCTGTAGATTCGCACTACATTTCACGTTAAACTCTGATACGTGGTGTCGTCATTATATATGTATAAACGCTCAAAGGTCAGACATGCGTGCGACATGCTAGTGTCTTGCAGGTTGCAACTTTTAATACTGGAGCGCGGACTTTGACCGACGTTACGTATCAGTTTATGTGCATATTACCTTGGTTGCCGCGCACACATTTCAAGTGGGACACGTTTCAAATGGGTCACCCGAATTTATCATTGACAGCCGCAGGTCCGGTGGGGTTTGACACACTTGGTTGACCCAGGATTACAAGAGGACAGTATCAGATCACGCACGACTGTAACAGGTGGCGAGAATTCAGTCGGCGGGGGAGAAAAAAGGGTCGATTTTCGTCTAAGCTGCGGCCCCCGTCTCCGGTTGTGGACTAGCTCGAGCCTGAGACAGAGAAATAATAAATTACCAAGTGATGAGGCGGGGCACAGCGGGCCCTGTCAGCGCGAGGTTAACGGGATATCGTCGGCGGAAGAGAGGTGTGAGCATGGCGGCCGAGGTCGATGAGGCGACTCGGCGAGAGTACGAGACCATGGAACGTTGGTTGGACGAGCACCCCCACTTTACAATGGACTACTTCACCCGGAAAGCGACCCGAGAGATGGTGAACGCGTGGCTCTTCTCACAGGCGCTTTCGCAAACAACCATGACAGCGCGGGAGTCCGTGCCCTCTGCTCCGAGCTCCGGCGCACAGACCCCCGTGCGGAGGGTGTCCAGCTCCGATCTCGAGTCCCGTGGACTCTTCGGCTCGTACCGGCCCATCCTCACCACCGTGGACGGCACCCCCTCGTTCATCGACCCGCAGACGATCGCGCGAACAGGCACCACGGCCACCACCACCACCTCCTCGGTCTCCACGCCTCGGCGCGGGGGTGTGTCGACCTCGCAGCTTCGGCAGGAGCTGCGCGCGCTAGACGAGCGAGAGATGATGCTCCAGCTCGTCCGAGACATCTCCAATGACCTGGACGTGAACCTCCTGTGCCACAAGATCCTCCAGAACGTCTCTATTCTCACCAACGCCGACCGGTGCTCGCTCTTCCTGGTGAAGGGGAACAAAGAGACGGGAGAGCGCTACCTCGTCTGTAAGCTGTTCGATGTCAACATACACTCCACCCTGGAGGAAGCAGAGAGCCAGGCGGCTGACCAGGAGAGTCGGTTCCCGTGGGGGATGGGCATCGTCGGGTACACCGCGGCCTCAGGCCAGATTGTCAACCTGCCGAACGCATACGAGGTGAGCTGTGGGGGCCAGCAGTCATACGGCGCCCGGGGAGGGTATAGGGGGTTCCCCAGGTGTTAGCTACATCTTTTCACATGTAAAATGTGATACTCTTGGTGTGTGTGTGTTTGTTTGTGTGTGTGTGTGTGTGTTTGTGTAGTGTGTGTGTGTGTGTGTGCATGTGTGTGTGTGTGTGTGTGTGTGTGTGTGTGTGTGCATGTGTGTGTGTGTGTGTGTGTGTGTGTTTGTGTGTGTGTGTATGACAGTGTGTTTGTGTGTGCATGTGTGTGCATGTGTGTGTGTGTGTGTGTGTGAGTGCATGCACGCACATGTGTCTGACTGTCTGTACATGTATGTGCTTGCTTGTTTATTCCTTGAAGATGAAGATTTGCCACATTTGTGAGAGGATTGACATAACTGACACCTGTTCAGACTGCCCAGGAAGGACTCCAGTACTCCTTTCTATAAGACTGGTGCTCATTATAATATACTCAAGCTCACTTTAATGTACGAAGCTATATATATACTATTAGATACTAATTTTCACCTGACTTGAATGAGCTTAAATGTGTTAAGTGCTTTCCCAAGGGAACCACAATGGGCCTGCTTGGCATGAAGTTGGCACACAAGACCACCATGCGACATGTGTGTGTCATATGTAATATTAACTACATAACTAAGCACAAGTAAGCAAAGGGAAAACATATTGCCTACTAGCATTTGTCAATGTGCCCGGGGGGGGGGGGCTCTGAATACTAAAGTTTGCATAATTGTTTGAAAAGTGTCAGAATTCTCGTTTTTTTAGGTAATGTTTCTGTTAGTTTGTTCCAAAGTCACCCCAGAGGAGGAAAAGGAAAAGATACAGATGTCTTTTGTATTCTAATGTATATGTAGAAAGATATAAGATTGAAAAAAAGATTAGTGAATAGATTACCTGTTGACTGTTAGGGTCGCTCGACTTTGTGTTTCAAACATGCCGGAAGCTTCTGTAATGACCCTGAGATTGGAGGAACGTTATTTTTACTCCCTTGGCATCGTTACAAAAATTTCTGCTGAAATACCTCGTTAACGTGACAGTAAATATTCCAGTTACAGCGGTTGTGTGAGGAAATCTCGCGCTGACAGGAGTGTGCTAACCTGTTGTAGCTAAGTGAAATAACGACGGCTGAGAGGTCCATGGCCAATGGGTTGTGTCAGTCATGACTGTGGCCCTAAGTGAGCTTTTATGTAAGCCGTCACACCCAAGGAAGCCGAGATGTTGCCAGATGAATTACCCTGAGGTCTGCCTGCACTTCTTTGGGTGTCGAAGCTCTGATTTAGGGTTGATACACGTTTAGAGGGTTAGCTTATCAGCTGGATAGAGAACAGAGCAAAGGTACTAGCTATATGTAAAGGTAATTATAGAAAACACTAAAACAGTATTCAAAAGAACACACCATCACTATTTTATTCTTCACATTCAACTTTTCAAAAATGATGAAATGTTATATCACTTTACATGCTAAATGCTTAGAATTTGAAGATTGAAATGGAAAATAATTAAACTATAAAATGATCAGATTTTTAAAAAGCCGTGAATAGAAACACTATTTTTCTTATGACATTTACTATTTTATTTTATGTTGTGCAGCAGCACTCAGATTTTGTTTTCTTATTACCTTCGCCAAGAAGGTTATGTTTTCAGAGGCGTTTGTGTGTGTGTGTGTGTGTCTGTCTGTCAACACGATAACTTGAGAAGGCCTTGATGGATTGTCTTGATACTTGGTAGGTGGGTAGGTCTTGATAAGAGCTCAAAATGATTAGATTTTGGACCCTCTAGCGGCTTGTTATGGTACTTCAGCTGAACTTCCGGTTTTGATATCTCATGATCTAGACATGTTATGGTGATGAAATTTAGGTGGTGGGTAGCTCTTGTGCTGGGGAAGAAGTGACGTGAGTTTGGGCCCCCTAGCGGCTTGCTCTGGACCTGCAGGGATATATTCTTGAAAATATTCAAAAGAGGATAATTCAATAACCGGTTGACGGATCGTCGTGATTTTTGGTATGTAGGTAGCTTACGTGATGCTTAATATAATTATGTGACAATTATGCAAATATGGATGTAATTTGCATAATTTATGGGGAAATTCTATAAATCAGCTGCATTCCATAATAAGACAATTGAAGCTTGTGACATTGGTAATTGACAACGAAAGAAACACAGGCAGATATTGATTATGTAAATAATGATTTAATTTTCATAATTAATGAGAAAATTTTATAATTATGTAATGATAACTGCCTGTAATTTCATACTTATGGTATTTGAAAGTTAAGTTGAGGTGAACATCATTAAACATAATTTATTCAAATCAGGACCCCATTTGCATAATTTATTAGGAACACTAGAATGCCTTGTCTGTTTATATGAGACTGTCTTTCGGTTGAGATTATGATAAAATGATATAATTCATGAAAATTAGGTTCCTATTTCTTAATTCAGGGGGGGGGAATAATGTAATCTATATTTTGTCAGTCATTTGGCGAAGGTATGAGATCGGGGAACTCTAGTTATATATAGGTTAGGTCCTAGATACCAGAGTAGGTACCAGACTGTGTATCTTTTCCAGAAAATGAATTTCGAGCCCTGCATATGACTTGGAGAAAGTGTGCAAATCAGGGGTTGACGTTACTTGCTGCAGGCATAAGTCATGACCTGCATAGTGAAGTTTATTCATAGGCTGAGTGGGAGGACTCTACACAGTGTTTTGACATTAGTGTTATTTATTATACGGAAATGAAAACATACCTACAATTAAATTTAATGGATCTCACTGGAAGAAAGGCGAAAAATATCCACAGACTATTACAAAATGGCTAATTAACTGGTGGTTGCACAGTTGCACCAAGTACATTGTACCTTAGCTCTGAAAAGAACAAGAAATAGTCATATGCCTTTGAATTATCATCCAAGGATTGAGGTGTTCTTAAAGTTTAACTAATCTTTTCCTAGAACTATCGTAATTAGTAGAACTTCCTACAATGGGGGCATCCTCACTAGCTAGGTTTAAGGCCTAGGAAAAAAATGTTGTGTTTCCTGTTTCAGTCCTGAAAAAAAGTAGGGTCAGTCGGTAGGGATTATCTTTTTTATTCTTTTTTTTTAAAGACTTCTGTGATATCTATATAGGGGTCCAACTTACAGTTTAACAAATTAAAACTTGCATATGAGGACACTTTTATTTTCAATGTCAATGATATAAAACCATTTGTACAAGGTTTTATCACTCAGGTGTTAGATCATGTAGCTAGAAAAGGTTAAACAGCTGGAAAAATAAATCATTTATTTCCCTTGCAGGGGTCCACCCCCCAAAATAGTCTAGGGTCGGCAGGTTTTTCTAGGGTCAGTCGGGAACAGGAAATGCAACATTTTTTTCCTAGGCCTAAACAATGTTTAGAGTTAGATGTTCAAGGGCTAGGTGTAACAAGTCATTCCCTGTAATATAGCGAGCAGCCGCCTGCAAAGGTATACAGATACAGAAAGATCAACTGGGTTATTTCAAGAACAACATGTCGACTCCTGTGTATTAACAAAACTGAATTCTCTTCACAATCAGCCACCCAAAATAAATACACTGTCAGACTGATATTGAACTCTTGTAGCTGTGTGTTGAGGGGTGGGCATTTATCAGTTGGTTCTTACAGTGTTGTATAGACTGTCCTTCATTTCCCCCAGATATTGGAGGCATCTATCTCATTTCTTCATATACCCAGGACTCAGAATGTTTGTATAATATATGTGACATCTGTTGGATTTACAGTAAGAAGAATTACTCAGTGGCATTCTGTGTGCATTTTGGCAAATACACAATTTTTCCTGCCTAGAGATGCCCTAACGTTAGGCCAGACCATTTTGACTGGTTGGTTCTTTTCAGAAACAAGAAAAAATTTTGATCTGGAATAGCAACAGAAAAACACTCATGGAATGTATGTACAGTACACTGTATATCTTGGTATTTGTAGGGAGTGAAATATAATAATCGGTTTTCTTAAAAGAATATTTGGTAACCCAAGGACCACATTTGGCATATTAACATTGAATAACAAGACTAACATTCTAAAATCACAGACGAATTCATATAAGATTACAGGCCTTCAAGCTGAGCTACATGTAAATGTATCATTCTTAATGTCAATTTGTTCTAAATGTACAAATGTATGTACAAATAGCAAGACATTCTGGTTGGCTATTACAAGTTGTGTCTCAAGACAAGGAGATGGGCTTTTAGAAGATACTAGTTAAGTCAAATATATGATCTTTTATAACTATTCGTCTTGACATCTTTCTACATTTTTTGCTACAAAATTCCTGACAACCAAGAAAATAGATTTGTGTCATTTTGTATTTATTATGGACATTAAATCAGTTTCTAATAGGCAAACATCCCCTTCTAATGTCATCCAAACCAAAGGCATAACTTCTAAGAAAGCTGTGTGTGCATGCAAT